CCTGTATCCTCAAGGGTTCTTCCGGGCGCTCGGGCCCCCGCGTGTGGAGCGCACGAGTCAGGACGTGGGAACCTGGCCGTCGGGCGCGGTCTGTCGTTTGGTGGAGTCCTTCGGGCATGCCTTGCTGGGTCCGCACGGGCGGGACGGAGGGTGGAGGAGAGGGGGGCCTGTCCCCCCGGGCGCAGGACATATGGCCAGCCCGGCGGTTCTTGGACCTGGATATCGCGCCTCGTCAGCAGGGAGCCAGCCCTTGCTGGGTCGAGGTTTCGTGACAGAGCCCCTCTCCCGGGTCTCTGTGACGCTAGGGGGGCCTGAGACCCTGGCGGTGGAGGAAGGAGCGACGGAGGAGCTGGAGGGAGCGGTGAACATTTTGATGTGGGGCCAGGAAACCTGGAGGCCGGCGGACGGAGAGGAAGGCGAGATGGAGGACCGGAGGGAGGAGCGGTTGCCCGAAGGGTTTGCGGAGCTGATATCTTTGGTAGAGAAAGCCTCTGTGGATGGGGTATCTTTCCAGGACCTTTGCCGCGACATGGCGTCGATACGGGCTGCGCTTCAGGAAGGGGTTACGGGCTTGAATCACGAGGGCAAGCCAGACGATGGGATCGGCGAAAACCTCGTCCGAAGTTGCCTGGACGAGGGCATCCGGCGCGGGCATGTGCTGCGCGTGCCTTCCTTTTTTGGGCCGCGATTTGTCAGCCGGACACAGGCCACGCCCTGGATGATGGTCGCGGCTCCCGGGTCTGCCACAGATGGGACTGTGGAGGACGCCGACATGTCTCCGGGTTTGGACGCTGTCTCCGCCTCTGGAACGGCTTCTATTCCTGACCACTCTTCGAACCGTCGCCAGAAGGAAAGCTTCCCTGCCACCCGACTCGCTCTGCCTTGGTTGACGATTCCCGACGGTCAGCTGCACGTGTTTCTCCTCCTCCGGGCCCTCCGATCTCTGATTGCCGCGATCCACACCCACCCCGGCATGTCCTGGACCGCGGTCCGCTCCGACTATCTGCCCATGTTCTCCTTCTCGGAGGTCTTGCTGCTGCTGCGCGCGTGCGTGGCGGCACGGGTGCTGGAGTTGAAACGTGTGCGACAAGGCAGGCGTGCGTCGCTCTGGGAAGAGGGGCGAAGACGGATGGTGGCGTGCCTGGGCCCCGACTGGAAATATTTTGATGACCTCCAGGCGCGACCGGAGCGACGCGACAGGAATGGGATGGGTGGCGACAAGGGAGGAAGGGATGAAAGGGGAGAGGAGGACACGGCGGAGCGAGACGTGCTGGTGGCTTTCCCCGGGGTGCAGAGCATGACGAGACTTGGCAGCTTGGAAGCGGCTATCCGCGCGGCAGGGCCCAAATCTGCAGTTTCATCGGACGATTATGGGCAGGAAGACAAGAACAGAAATGTTGGGTTGGAAGAGATGTAGGCACATACGCAAGCGGGCGAAATTTGTGCATCAAGTTGTACATATGCGCGCAGGTAGAAAAGACGCCAGTGTTTTTGATCAAAACATCTCTGTATCGAAGGTATCGAGAACCATGTAAAAAGACGAAAATCTAACAAAGAGACAGGGGTGAGTGTCCCGTTATCCACGTTATTTCTGTTTGTAGAATCTGTCATGAAATTATTGTCTAGATATGCACATTTGCATCCTTGTTGGCTCCAAGCACGGCAATACTTTCCCGTGCGAATAGCGCAGCTTCAGAATTCACGTCTCTACTCATCACCTGCGCTGGAAGAGACGAGCTACTTGGCTAAAGGCCATGGAGGCCAAGAAGCAGGAGAGAAGCGGGGCGGAGACCACGACATTTCCGCTATTGTAGTATATGTCGCCCGGCAAATGGCCCAAGACGAGTGGTGGACCGCGCAAGACAAAGCGGTAGGTGGCTGCAGTTATTATCAGGATCGATACGTATGCCAAAGGTTTGCGCATAGACGGGTGGGTGTAGCGTGTGATGAGATTTTGACCCGCCGAGGGCAAAGACGCCCAAACTTTATCTAGCACCGCGTCCAAACCGTTCATGAGTCGGCCCGAAACGTGTTGTGGCGACCATGGTGGGGCTGTGGCCGCCGCAGCACGGTGTGCGGAAGCTCGTCGAGTGTCCGTGCGCGCTTGGCCTGCCAAAGCGGAGTTGAGAAGCCCTCTAATGTCCGCATTTTCTGGAAGTAAGCGACTGCTGATCCCCAGAAACCGAGCCGCGCGGTCGTAATCACCCCGTCGCAAGGCGTCCACTCCCAATGCCTTTGCCCGTAGCGCCTCTTCCTCGTTCACAGCAGCAGTTGCTGCGGGGGGGGATGTTTCTGATGCGGGGGCTGACCATGTTCCTTCGTATGTGGTGGGGGCTGATGCTGGAGTTGATGAGGCGTTGTCCGTGGTGACCCCATCCCCGTGCACCTGGCGGCGTCTCATGATGGGACGCAATATCTCTGCGTCGAAGAAGGTGATGAAGAACAAGTGATGGTCAATTAATGAAACTGGCTCGGAAGACTTAGAAAAAATAAATGACTCAACACAAACGCACCACCTGGGCGCTAACCTCCCCGGGACCGCCGTCCACTTTGTGGCAAAAACTTAATATTCATATTATCAATATTCCGTGTTCTCTTTCAAAAGATAACGACTCCACCACAATTAAGAGCGCATTGTGACTACCTTCTTGCAATTTGCTTAAGTGCCTCAATCCTCCTCCTTCGCGTGCCTATGCAACAGCCCTCCGAACGATAGTCAGTCCCCTGAAACGTCCTCCGCGCGTCGAATCGTTCTCGCCCACCACACATCCTATTTTAAAGTCACTCGCTTGCCGCTGAAGCGGCAGCACCGCTTTTGTCTTTCTTTCCCCCTTTCTTTTTCTTTCCGCCCCCCGCAGGAGGGGGTGTTGGCGCAGTGGGCGCGGGCTCCTCCAACTTAAGACTGAAGGTCTCTTGCACCTTATTCGATACGCTGTCCTTGAACTGTAAGGGGAATGGACAGGAAGGCATGAGACCCAAGGTGTTCACGACGCCTTGCTCGTTGTTTTTCTCCCAACACTGTATCCCTCCTCATCCGCGTCCCTCCAACACCGCGTACCTTATCAAAGAGGCTCTTGGACATGTCCTTGGTAACCACTGTCGGCTGCTGAGTCTTACCGAACTGTCGTTAAGGGAAGGAATGTCAATACTTATCAGCCATTCTCGCTCCTACCAGTCATAAGGTCCCGTCTCTTTCCCAGTGTACGCGCACCACCCACAGAGTCAATTTCTCTCGCTTTATCGACCTCCATCTTTTTTTTCACACCTTGTCCTGAAGAGGTTTGTACAATATCTTAAACCCCCAAATGATCTGATCCCTGGGCGCGTTCTTTAGGGTGGCGTGCATGGCTTGACCCTGTTCCCGAAGCCGCCTCTCGTTGTCAAAGATGGCCTTGGACACAGCCGTCTCTACCTGCGCCTTGTATACGCCCTTGAACATGTTGGCAGCAATGCCCTCTTGCAACGACGCGTCCACGACGCCTTTGGCTACGTTGTCGGCCTTGAAAGCCGCCACAGGCATCCACAACCCCTTCATCTTCTGCGTGGCCGCGAACACTTGGAACACGGGCGTTGTTTCAATTTCGGCATTGAACTCAGCCATCGCTCGTTGCCTCTCCATTAAGTCTCGTTTCGCTTGTTTTCGTCCAAATTCAGGTCCCGACCCCTTGGCCTGTAAAGGCTTTAAACCCGAATGCTCAGGGTGCCCCCGGGGGGGCCCAGGGTGTTGCTGCTTCCTCACCTGCAGGGACGAAGGGGCGGCTGGTCGTACGAAAGCATGCGTTACGGCCACGAGGAAAAGCAGTACAGAACACGCGATGCCTCTTCTGATGGCCATACTCGAAAATAATTGCTCCTGTGCGCCAAAAAAAGGGGAGATGGTTGAGGTATCGTGTCAGGTCGTCATGGGAGGGGAGGCTGGCGTGGAGCAAAAACGACACGCACCACTGGATGCCTCCTGTCAGTGACAATCACAATCCACCATCGCAGCCATGACCCACGAATTTCACATGCTACGCTCTTACTCCTCGCATTTATACCACTGGCTGCACCCACGTCGTGCAGTGAGGTCACGGGGCGCGGGCACTGGAACAGAAGGCCCAGTCCCCCGGCAAGATACCTCTCTCGCCTCCCCTTGCCACGAGCTCCGCCCCCTCGCTCGTTTTGGCCCCCTTCAATTGAAGCCGGCCATGTCTGGTCTCTTACACGGCATTCCCATACACACAACTGCACAGGATGGTGTCGTCCAAAGCAACGACATCGAACCCGCGTGGATGGGCAAAAAGAAAATCTTCAGACTGCCCCTCCCACCTCTTCCGCGCTGCAGCAACAGCCGCTGCTACTTGCCTGCTGTGGGCCAATCACGCTTCCGGCTTTGAGATGCCCCCCCACACTCAAGTTCACACGATCTCACCATTGAGGCAAAGGAGCTCTGCCTCGACGGCAACGGTCGTCGGTGGGGACAGGGGAGGAGCACAGAACGGTATACAGAGGCAGCGTCTGAGGGAGGGGACGGGTGTCCATGTATATGGCAACGGAGGGAGAAAGCGGGGCGGAGGCAGTAATGGAGGAGGGGACAAGGGCACGTCGAGGAAAGACGATTTCCTCGCGCCGGATTTCGACCTAGAGGAGTTGCTGAGGGAGGAGGGGGGAGAGAGTTCGTGGGAGCCGCGGAGGGAGCGGCCGGATCCCCCCTCGCGTCGAAGGCATCCAGGGTCCGGTCCGGAGGCGAGGGGGAGAGGCGCATACATGGGAGGCAATGCAGGTGGCCATTCGGCGCCGGAGTCGTCGCGCCGGCCATCGCCACGGGTCGAGCGGGAGGAGCGGGGGGAGCGAGGGCCTCGAGAGATAAGCGGGGAGGAGTACCGGCAGCAGCGACGCTTCGAGGGAGGGCGGCGTCGGCCTGCACATCGACCGCAGGGAGGACCTGGACAGCGGACGCCAATGTGGAACCGGCGGGGGTTGAAGAGGGAACATGGGTGGGAAGGAGAGGAAGGGAGGGAGGGAGGAAGGGAGGGATGGAGGGAGGATGAGATGGGGGCCGACGAGGGGGAAAAAGAGGTGGAACCGACGGAGTACTACGAAGAAAGCTTTCGGGAGGGGGGGCTGCGGACCGAGGCTGATGAGGGTGGCTTGGATGAGGAGAGGGCCGCGCGTCTGGCGGACACCTTCTTCTTCAGCCGGAAGACCTTCGAGGAGATCGGCGCCTCCCCCGAGGCCCGGGCCGCCCTGGGGTCCATGGGCATCGCCCGCCCTTCCAAGGTCCAGACCATTGCCTACCCGCACATTCTACAGGGATCCTCCTGCATTATCGCCGAGCAGACGGGCTCGGGGAAGACCCTGGCCTACCTCCTCCCCCTCTTGCAGCGACTCCGGGGGCTGGAGGGGGGAGGGGAGGGCAAGGGCGGCTTGGGTCGCGCCCCTCCCAAGTCGCCCCGCGTGGTCGTCCTTGCCCCCACCGCGGAGCTGGCAGCACAGGTTGCCTCGGTGGCCCGGGCCCTGACTCGCCACATGCCGTTGCGGGTGTGCTGTGTGACGGGGGGGAAGAACCCGCGGACGCAGGGGGAGATGCTCAAGCAGGGCGTGGACGTCCTGATCGGGACGCCAGGACGGGTCCAGTACCTGCTGGAAGAGAATAAGGTGCTTTTGGGGGAGATGCAGGCCTTGGTCTTGGACGAGGTGGACGTGATGTTCCTGGACGACTCCTTCGACCTGGCCGTGATTGGGGCCGCCGCCCCCGCGCACACCCAGTTTCTCTTCGTCACCGCCACCCTGCCCGTGCCCGTGGCGGACCAGATCGCTCGAGAATTCCCGGGCGTGAAAAAGTTGTGGGGTCCAGGCCTGCACAAGATCGCGCCTCAAGTGGAGGAGGTTCTGGTGGATTGCTCCGGCCCCTGGGAGGAGGAGCGGAACGAGGAAACTGGCTTTGTCCGAAAACGGGACATGCTGGTCCAGAACCTGCTCAAGCACCCGGCGCCTCGCTCTTTGGTCTTTTGCAATTCCATTCCCACATGCCGCAAGGTGGAAAATGCGTTGCGCCGGGCGGATCGACAGGAAAAGCGATGGCAGGTTCTCGCTTACCACTCTGCTGTCAATCCTCAGGACCGGCAAAAAAACTTGGACATCTTTTCGTCACGTGTCGAGAGGCCTTTGATAATGGTGTGCACTGATCGAACATCCCGCGGTGTAGATTTCGATACGGCTGACGTACAGCACGTCGTGCTCTTCGACTTCCCTCGAGACCCGTCAGAATACGTACGGCGGGTAGGGAGGACCGGAAGAGCGGGCAGGGTGGGAAGAGTTACGGCATTGGTATTGGGGAGGCAAGTGGGTTTGGCCAGATCGATCATGGAAGGAAACAGTAAGGGGGCCCGGGTGCATCCTGTTCCGAATTAGATGTTGAAAAGCCGCAAGAAGAAGGAACAACGGAGATGACACTGAGGATGGAGGGTTAAAAGAGGTTTTGCAAGGGAGGCATTTTCACGGAAGGTAAATAGCAACTCTGGTAGAGGTACCGAAAAGAACAAAGTCTGACCGATTTGTAGAGTACCACAGTGCACATCTCTACGAAACTTTCGTTTCGTTCTGACACTCAGGAGCACGTTCCCGGGCATGGGCCGTGACCTTACCTCCTCTCCTCGCGCGTTGACCCTCTCACTTTACCCTCCCACACACCAACATCACAGCATCTTCACACACTTGTAGGGGAATGTACTCCTCCCTCGAACAAGTTTTGATTCCACAAATCCATGATGATGATTGCCATGAGGTGGTCGTAAGTGACGAGGAGACTCAGACGCAATTTTGCTTCGAATGCGCAATGGACTGCTTCAAGTCACCGAACCTCCTCACGATTCAAAAGCGACGCCTTTTGATAGGCATGAGTGCTGGGTTTACGCAATTGGACCGCATTGACGAGGCTCAAGGGACTGAAACAGATCGAGACGAACACGGGAATAGCGTCGACGAGCTTTCAAACTCACAGAAGCAGGCTACGATCGAACTCCCGTGCAAGGTAGTAGGAGATCGCATCATTCGATCCTATTTTGAACACGTTGTTCTTCGGTGTATGAACCCCATAGACGACGTTGACGTAATACCAATTCTTTTGAAGACAACGATGCAACTCTTTGCTCACGCGACCTTGGATGAGCAAACCGTAATGGCGTTGTACGAACAGTTGCTGCACACGTGTCGCGCCAACGGAATCCGCGAGAGCCTGCACATTATTCAGCTCCTTTCCACCATGCTAGAAAACGCCGATAATAATGGCCCCATTCTTCATTTCGATCACCTACTTGAAAACATCGAAGGAGAAGATATTTGGCACCATAATAACGGAACCAACGGACATCCATCGCTCTCCTTCGCTACCTCGTTGGTGGCTTTTGTCGATCTTGTGGCAGGCGATTGTTTCCGGGATTTGTGTGGGGCAAGCAAAGATGGGAAAGAAATGTTTGCATGCAATGAGAGTGGTGGGAGGGAGAGACAAGTTCAGCTTCTGCACCTCCTCCTCCTCCTTGTCCGAGGCCCGCGGACGAAGGCCCTCCTACTTAGGGAGGGCGTCATGTCGCGGCACATGAATCGCATTCAAAGCCTCTCAAACCTAGGGCAGGGATCTCTAGGAGCTGCAACGCTGATAAGAAGCGTGGAGGGTGCGTGGATAAAAGCTATTCTGGCCTTATCTGTTGTCCTCATACCTTCGCCGGATCCAGGGCCATTCACCGACATTACCCTTGACACAACAAAATTGAAAACACGGAAACGGCGGTTATCGCAGAGAAATCTAGAACCTCTGGGGCGAGTAGCAAAAGTAAAAAAACTACAGCAGGGCTTCTGCCCTGGCATACGACGTTGGCATCAACGCTGGCAAAAGATTTAATCATCAGTGCAGATTTGGAAGTGGCATTCGGAGCCGGGTCCTACCTCCTCCTCTTGCTCTCCTGTCTCCTTCACGGTCCTGATAAAAGGGGGAACGAGCTGGCTGAGGAGTTGATACGAATTGGCCTCGTCGAATTTTGCTTGGAGGGTATCCGAAACGTTTTGAGGTTTGCTGTAAGCAACGGGCATCAGACGCAGCAGCAACGAAATCAGGAGCAAGGCGATAAAATTACCCTTCTGCTGTGTCGCTTGATGTGGACACTGAGCCGTGCTCAACCTTTAGGATTTTACGGATCGCAGCGCTTTTCTCCGTCCTTGTTCAAGGAACTGGTTGAATTGTTGCAAGGCTTAGCGGAGAACGAAAGTTTGGCTCGCGTCAGTCGCCTATCTTTGGAAATGGAGGATCCGCATGAGCTGGTTAGCTACGAGGAAACGGAAAGTAAGGAATGGCTTGTAATGGATGCGAGCGCGCCGAATCTAGTCTTGAGTATCATTCACGCCAGTTTGACGCAGACACGTGTGATATATGACGAAGATTTGATGGGCAGATTGCTGCAGGTGCTTAGGCACTGCCAAAATAAGGACAATGAGGAGCACCCATTGAATTCGCAGCAAGATCCTACGAGCAGCTTCTCGTCTACCTTCCCACTCCAGCTTTTACTCTTTTTATCGGAATATCTAGGGGCGATAAGCAACAAGCTTCTCTTCCCTTCTCATCCCATTCTGGAAAGTTTTCTTCATTGCTTGAAAACCCAAATCATTTTTTTTCTCTGCTTCCCTATATGCCTCCCATCCTATTCAAAAGCGGGGCCAACGTTTATGTTGACTTTGGCTCTGGCAAATCTACGTGTACTGGACATCCTTTCTGTCCGGCATTATCACCATCATCAGCCGCGGCTTCCTCCGTCGCAACCTAATCTTCTTTCCCTCCTGCTGGACGCAGCGATGCAGCTTCTTGTGCTCTTTTCGGGCACAGAGAGGCGAAGTCCAGGAGATGAATACGCGATTTGTCATTTGTACTCAAAGCTTCTGCTGTTAATGTCAGATGCTGAAGAGAAATGTTGCACCACTGAATGCATGGGCAATGACATAGACCGAGACAGCCACAGGTTGAGTCAACTCTTGCTGGATACAGGGGTATTTGAAATGGCTATTCAACACATCAGTTATTTGGAAGAAGGGGAGAACGTTGAAGAGAAAAACGTGGATGTATTCAGTCAAATAGCCGCAAGGCTTTTGACAGACGTCTCCGACAAGTCCGAGGGATTGGATCCATGTCATCTTACTCGCTTCGTAAGGCAAAACCTCAGGACCTTGCATTCTGCCACCCTCTCTGATGAAGTAGCAGAGATTTGGCTGTGGTTGTTGGCGCAAGATCTGCATTGTCTCTGTCGCTGGGAAGCAGAAGACTTAGTAAATGGTTGCTCGCGTTTCGAGCTGCTTCTACTCATATCCCGACGCGTGTGGCGAAAACGTAGACCTCACGTTATAGTTCCGGGGGAGGAGATAAGCAAATTGCTTATAAGCTGGGGAAAACAAGCACAGCAAGCAAGGGAAGAGGCCTATCTAGGGCGAATTCTTACTCCTCTTTCCATTAAGTTAATTCTTGATTTGGCCCTTGGAGGTAGTAGCGTTCCTCGTCTCGCTCCAGAAGTGCGTGCTGGTTTGCAGACCGTTCTACAAGCCTTTTGCGTGAGAGAAAACAAGGGAGTAGATACATTTTGTTCTATCTATTTGTCATGCCACGGTCCATCCCATCTACACTCCTGCCTCGCTCTTGCCGATGCTACGGGAGTGCAATTCATCGTTCACCGTTGGATGGACCAACTGGTCGAGGATAAATTGAACGTCGAGATATCAGAGGGAAGCAATGGGCCCTCACTGTTTGCGCGAGTCTTACATACGTATTTCAACACGGGCGCGGGGGATGGTCGCAGCGTGCTTTTGGCCCTTTTACAGTACATGAAAGCCGCCTCCTCGCATCGTCCGACGCCGCGTCTTGCCCAAGCTTTGACCTATCTTTACACTGCATCCTGTTGGTCTCAATTGTGGGCATCATGCGCGGACACGTGCAGTGAAACATTGCAAATCTTGCACGACATGATTTTGCCCGTCCTAGTAGACGGCTCAAGCATTTTAGAGGGCCAGACCGCGCTACGCCTCACAAATGTAACGAAGGAGGAAAATCAGATCATACCTGACGTGCAGACTTTAGCCGTGCAAGTCATTCAAATTGTCAAAGCCGCACTGCAACATGCTGCATGGTCCGCTGATTTTACACCTGTCTTGAAGACAACCAGCCGCATTCTCCTTCTTGCTACTGCCCCCCCCTTGAAAAACCCGCACGTCGGAGCCGCGCTGCTCGCTTTAATCAACGATATTACTAGGCGAGGACACGATGAGTTTTTGAACCAGTGCGCAGGCATTTTGGATCTTGCTTGGTCTTTTGAGAGCGCATCTCCGCGTCTCGCAACAACAAATGCACTTCTATATTGTCTACTGCTTCTTCACCACCGGTGCACGC